TAGAAAAACGATTCTTTTCCTACATTATTTCATTTTATTTCTTTTCGCTTTATCCACTTTTCTCAGTTATATCCACTCTGATGTAATATACTCTCGTTCAGTACATATATATATATCTCTATATCACAGACTTATCGTCTTATATATATTTATATATAATTATATGTATATAAAATAGGTTCATTTATATACAAATATATAAAATTATATATAAAATACTTTTTCCCGGGTAATAATTATGTTTGGTAAAAACGGGCTGAAAATTTGTATAAAGAAACATAACTTTGTAATTTTATAAGATATAAGACAAAATTAATAATAAAAAAAAATTAATTTGTTTGAATTTTCAATTTCGTTTATTAAAATTCAACTTTTAATACTTTTAATATCCTAAGAGCGGTAGTTCGACTTTATTTCTAGATTGTCTTAAGCTGTTAATACGGCCTTCTAATTGTTTCGTGACTTCTTAAGACTGACTTAAGATGGTCTTGAATATAAGATCTGACTATGAACCGGCCCTAGAGTCATAGATTTATCAGAGAAGCGCGATCGACTTAAGCCGGAATCAAACTACGCATTGAAAATTAGATTGAAGATTGAAATTTAACCAATGAGAAAACAAAAGAATTTTAATTCCTATTGTTTTGATTGGTTAAATTTTAATTTCTCAATCTTAAATGCATAGTCTGATTCTGATCTTATGTCGCAAAAGTACTAAAAAGTATTAGAAAAAGTATTAAAAATGGCGTTTGCAAGACGGATTATGAAGGCCATCAATTATTCATTAATTCTGCTAGATATCAATCATAAAACTTTTTTCCTAGAATAAAAAGTGAAAAATTTCTCCATTAACTTCAATGGTTAAAATTTTCACTTTTCATTCTAGAGATAAAGTTTCATGATTGATACCTGAACAGCAAATGCGATTCCAATGTCAGTTCCATAAAACCATCGATTAAGTTAATCGGAGTTGGTAGGACCGGCCCATAATCAATGCGAGATCGTCCAACTGACTATATTTTTTACAATTTTCGATTATAATTGGCTTTAAAATTTATGTGCAGTAGTTCTTATAATCTAGATATCATATTTCATGTGTTCTAGATATCATATTTATATATATATCATTTATATACTAGTCTGAAGATACGGTCAACGCGATGCTACAAACGCTTTGAAGTGTTTTTTAATTGATCAATTTGTAAAATTCTTTCTTTTGATTGGTCGGAACAAACTTAAGATATATATTTCTGTCCTGCTCAGTAACTTTTCTTCTTTTTGTGCATGTGCCAAAAGAGGATAGAAGAGGACAGAAATACATCTTCTGTCACTCAATCTTGCTAACAGCTCAACATCCGTATTCCCCCTCCATTAGTATAAGTTGATCACACGCGTCATTTGTGTCTCCGGGAAGGCACACTTTGTAAGGTTAGCATAACAAATTTTCTAACCTTTACAAACGTCAATTTTAAAGGCGAGAGCAATGTCATGCACAACGCATAATGCATTACACTAATTCTACAATGAATCGGTAATCAGTAGTCCTAAATCTTATCGGTGAAGTTGATCAATAGCCAACTTATACGACTAAGACTGATTGACCAACTTCGATTAAGACTAAAACTTCCAATTACCGACTCATTGTAGAATCAGCATTATACATAAGAAAACGATCAATTGAAATCTTTTATTTTCCCTTCCATGAAGTAAAAAATTTGAATTGATTAAACGGGGAGCACAGACTTTCGCATAATACAAAATATATACAGTGCAAATATATACAATACATACAATGCATAAGAAAATGTACCAATTAAATTCCTTCGTTTCCTTCTTTTCCATAAAGTAAAGAACTCTGATTGGTTAAATTTCTTGTGCCTTATATGTTATGCGTTATGCAAGACTCTGTGCTCCCCGCTTTAATTTTCTTATGCTTTATACAAAGGTCTATGTTCAATCATTCAAATTTGAGAATTAAGTAAACATTTACTTATTTTTGCAGATTCTATTAGCAAAACACAAGCTTAATGCAAACATCACAGATACAGTGTGTTACTTAATTACAGTTAATTAATTTTCTGCTGAAATTTTTTGATATACTATTAACACTTATAGTGTTTTCTCTTGAGATACTAAGTGTAACCTCGCGCTATACCAGTTGCGTGTAAGTACTGCATCAGTGCTGCACTACACAAGTGTATATACACCATGGTGTACACTACTTCATGCTATCGTATTTAATTTTGCTGCCGATTGACTTCCATTTTCAAATTTTTAACTAGCTCTTTGAAATTGTGTAACAAAATGCTTGGTGCATAAAATTTGCACTACATTATAGCCACAGAAACACGTGGCATTACACTGAATGAATTCGCCTACCACCAACTACGAAAACATGCTACACTGTTCAAGTGTTGCACTAGTGGGCGATAGTGCAGCCAAGAGAAAACGCTATTAAAGAATTTATTGGGTCTTTTTTTATGATTGTTTTTACATACTTTATTAAAGCATAATATATTTAAAGTAAAACAGATTTTGAGATGCATTTTTTATTTTAATTAAAAACTTTGGAAAGTGTATGAATAAAATCAAAATTCTTAAACCGTCCACTTCATGCATCTTGTGTCAAGATGAGTACCTAAACATTTAACACAACAATATCTAGCGCCACAAGGTATGCATATATAATTACTAGGGAAACCACACACTGCACAGAAATGTCTCTCAGGTAAACGAGAGGGTGGTGCTTGAGCACTAGCGTAGTTTGGTGGATTAGGATTTACATTGAGATCTTCTTCAACCAGCTGAGCAAAAGTCTTGCGAAAACGTTGCTTGTAATATTCTGCAGAACGGGTTTTCTTCTTTCTACTGTTACTTCTATTGTCCAGGGTCTCTTGGAATTTTGGTATTTTCTTGCTCATAACTATAACAAGAAAAAAATTTTCTAACACATGATGTTTCGAAAAGAAACAAACATTTTTATGGTATATACCCAAGTCTGCATGTGGATCATCATGAAAATTGTCTTGCTCCAATGCTTCCAGTGCTTTTTTTTGCCTACGTTTACGTGCAGCCTCATCAAGAATCCTCTTTTGACTCGCGTCTTTTATTCTACCGGATTCTCGAGACATTTTTCAAGTTTATAAAATATTATACACCTCAAAAAGCTTTTGTTGTTTTTTTTATACACCTTTCTCTGCCAATGGGAATGATATTTGATCCATTAAATCATCTACTTTAGCTTGCAAAGTTTCCAGTATGTCAGCAGATATGAATAGATGTTTCTCATCCAGATCTTGAATTATGAACTTTCTTCCTAGTGCAGATGTTTCGTCCAAATGTAGAAGAAACTGTTTCATAGCTGCATCACTAAACACATACAATTTTGTTCGAATGTTTAATATTTTTTATTATAAATATATATAGATACCATGTCGAAAAGAAAAGGAGTTTCTCTTGATGAGAAACGTATGAGAATGTTGCAAATATTTTATGAGAAGAAAGAATTTTTCACACTGAAGGAACTCGAAAAGATCGCGCCAAAGGAGAAGAACATCGTAGTACAAGCTGTCAAAGATGTGTTACAAGCTTTAGTGGACGATGGTTTGGTACGATCTGAAAAAATTGGTACTTCCACATATTTCTGGAGATTCCCAGGGTAATATTGCAAGACAATTGTATAGCTACATATACTCCATAAAGAAAAAAAATGAGATATTCAAGAAATAATATTTTACAGAGAAAATATTACTACAACAGAATACAGAATAGCTGATACAAGCAAAAAGCTAGTAGAAGTAGAATTTAAACTGGAGAAACTGAAAGAAGAAATACAGAAAGAGAAGGTACATATTTAGAGGTCTGTTTGGTAATTCCTAACGACTGTAACTGTAACAATACAGTTAAGAGTTACAGAAAAGGCCCCTAAATTTGTTAAATTTTAATTCTATTCTTGTTCATTTAAAATATTTCATATATTATACAGGAACTGAAGAATGATGATACAGAAGAAAAGAGAAAGCTATTGGAAGAAATAGAACAGCTAAAGAAAGAAGAACAAGAGATAAAGAAACAAATTGCAAAATTCAATAGTGTCGATCCAGAAGCAATTGCAGAAATAGATAAAAAAGCACAGGTACAATCAAACTCAATATATGTTTTATATATAACATATATTAGATATATTTTATCAAATATAATAGATTTCTTAACTTTATTTTTTTATTAACATCTTATTCTTTTTGTAGTAATAAAAGACTTTTTGAGTATCGTTTCTATCTATTCTGTCACAGTATGCATGATATATAATATTAAATTTCAATGAAATTATTAAGGAAGCTACATTGTTGATGTCGCTACAATTATTGCTTTTTTTGTTATATTTGTTTAGAAATACAAAGATGGGACTAATATATGGACGGACAACATTTTTTCTATACAAAGCTGGTGCAAGAATAGATTTTGCATTTCAGAGCAAGAGCTTAATAAACAATTTAACATTCCCGAGGACTTAGACTACAAAGAATGAATTTGATTGTTGATTCACGCAACTGGTTGTCAATAAATTGAATAAATTATTTTTTCTACAAACACACGTACCATTCAACCAAAATGCCCTTTGTTACATTTACCATGTCTTGCAATTATCTTTATTTTTTAAATGAGTCAAGTTTACCGGTGTTTTTCGTCGTAAAGCAATTAGTTTCGTATGTTTTTTCGAAAATTTTTATCATGAATTCGTCCCGAATGATACGAAATAACAGAATGACAACTTCAGCTACGTTCGACAACACCACTAAAACAATCGACTCGGATGATGTTTCTGAACATGCTTTGATTGAATACAATGTTGCCAAATGCCTTTACCAACTTCCCCTAGAAAAGCTTCGATTCTCCTTAAATCTCCTTTGGCTATGTTCAGAGAATCGATTGCGTAGCTTGAAAATTACAAAAGTGAACAAATTCATTAGACAATGACCAATTAAATTTATGAAATTCTGGTCAATTTGTTCACTTTTGCAATTTTCACCTCATTTCGAGATACACAATGGCTGCATTCAGCGGACTCAACTGTTGAGTTCGCTGAATGCGCTCAATAGACCTTCAGGAGATCAATTCTGTATTTTCAAAGGTGAAAATTACAAAAGTGAACAAATTTACTAGATGTTGACCAATGAAATTATTAGTATTCTAATTCTAAATACGCTCACTTTTGTAATTTTCATCTCGTTTCAAGCTACAGAATCGATCCTCAGATTCCCCAGATTCCCCATTGTGCAATTCAGAATATCGAAATAATAAATTGTATATCTCGAAATGAAGTGAAAATTACAAAAGTGAACAAATTCACTAGAATATTCATAATTTCATTGATTAACATCTAGTGAATTTGCTTTCTTTTGTAATTTTCACTTCATTTTAAGATATACAATCAACTCCTTGATGAAAATTATAAAAGTGAATTCACAGATTCACTCGAATATTCATAATGAAGTGCATAATTTTTTGGGGATTTCAAGCAACGCGATAGACTTCTTGAGTTTCCAGTTTTTTGTTCTAGATGGCGCTGAATTGATTATTTCGATCTTTTCTCGTCAATTTTTGTGATAACCGTGTCGTCGTTTCCATTCAATCCGTTTATCTGTTTTGCGTATAATGATGTCAGATAATTCTCTTACCTAAATATTATATAAATTCAACTTGACATAAATTCAGCCATAAAAATCTTCAAAAAAAATTGAGGTTTGTTTTGCTATTGTTTAATATGTGTGACTGACATTTGAGAACATCTTTGACATGGTTGTCATTACTACTTTTTATACAAATATTGTTTTTTAAAAATAAAATAATGCCAGTTATATGTAAATAGGATTATTAATTTTTCGACTGAAGTTTATACTATTCATGAAAACTGATAAAATGCTTTTTATGGTTTCAATTTATCAATTCTATTTCCTAAATTGTTTACTCAGAAAAACAAAAATGGCTGCTGTTCCTTTGATGTTGGTGGAAGAGGATGTTGAACGGGGTGGCAAGGAGCAATCCGAACATGACATACAAGATGACTTTGCTTACAGGAATAACGTGCATAATGCAGATATCAAGATACGAATGGGTAATGTATAACATTGGAGAAATTCAAAATTATATAGACATATGTTACTGTAAAATATTCATAACATTAAAATATCTACTTGTAAACTATATTTATGATATCACAACTAGTTTCATTTATAATAAATATATGAATTTCATATTTAATGCTCATTCTAATTATGAATTGAATTTATCTAGGTTTCTTACGGAAAGTTTATGGTTTGTTGAGTATTCAGATCTTGATGACTGTTGCATTAGCTTCAATATTTGTGATCAGCTCAACTGTAAAGTTATATGTGCAAGAGAAGTAAGACATCTTCTTGTATATTTAATTCATATTAACTAATAACCATACAACGCGTTCTCTTTATACATATCACAATTATTGCGAATAATATTTCCGAAGCCTCAGTGTCGAACTGGCTAAGACACTCTTCCTCGAAAGTTGAGAGGTCTCAAGTTCGAATCTTGACTGAGGTAATATTTTTTGCAATAAGTTTTTTACTTTCTATCTGTTTTAATTTAAGGGGGGTTATTAGTGTTTCAGGCCCAATTCCACAACTCACTTTAACTTACGTTAACTTTTAACCAAAGTTCAACTTGTTTCTCATTTATTCTAGAATTGGAAAGAAACAATGAATAAGTTGAATCTTGGTTAAGAGTTAATCGTGAGTTGTGGAACCTCAATGATTATGTTGAAATTGAAAGTTTTTTGGCTCTCAATCATATCTGAAAAAATTAATTTAATACAAGTATATATAATTATTTGGAACATCTAACTTTGACCATTCTTGGTTTTCTTTATTGCATTTGATGTATTAACTAATAGAAATGTTATTAATTAGAATACATGATATAATATGGCTCAAATAATGAAAATAAAATAAATTATGTTAAGAAGGGCTACGAGCCAAAGTAACCAAATATAATGTTCGTAATAAAAACAAACATTTAATAAAAGTAAAAATAAAAATATAAATATGCATTAAACTAACATTTCGACTCGGGTCATTCTCAAAGTTAAAAGAATAATATATAAAAACGGTTAATTATAAATAAATTAAACAAGAACAACTACTTTAGAAATATGATGGCGAGAAATGATGATAAAAAAGAAGAAATTTGAATATTCAGACCCTTACTTTATTTCTATATTCATTCTATCTTCCTATCATACAATCTCTTTCCCCCTCTTAGTTTCCTTTTCCTTTTTCCTTTTCTTTTTTTATCCTCTTCATCTCCTTAGTTCATTTCCTACAGGTTGTTATTTTCATTACTCTCTGGCTGATAATAAACAGTGGTCTTTATCGCAGTACTACTTCAGCTTTTTTAATTGTATTATATTTTACTTTTTTGACATACTCTTATCATATGACATCACAATTTCATTATTGGACTACACAAACACAAATTACAAATTTAAGGTATTAGTGTTATAGAAGAAGCTGATATCGATCACTTTGTTTTTAGACAATATTTCTTAAACAAAAAGTAAAAGTAAAACTTTAAATACATAAATACAAACTAAAAAAATCTTTTATCAGATAATATAGCAGTTTTTATAATACTCTTTGTTATTTTGCAATAATTAATTTTTTCGTAAGATAAACAAAAATGAGATTCTAACAAAATGGGCTCCAAAACTGACACAGTAGGCAATAATGCTACGTATTCCTATTTTTTTTTTTTTTTACAGGAATTATCTGTATAAAGTACCTACAAGTGAATGTATATAAGATATTCCAGAATCTTTTCACTTCGTTATAAAACATTGTTATTGAATTATATGCATATTTATTTTATGCTGTTCTGTAAGACGCAAATATTATATAACGTGAATTTTTCAAGAGTTTTTTCATGATTGTCTTCAGTTTCAATAAAGCTATTTGACACTATAAAGCAATATTATAAAAATTAAATTAACTCATGATCTGTTTTACAGGTGGCATATACGCTGCACTCCAATTTTAAATTTAAAATCATATTATGAAAAAATTAAAAGAAAAAATAATATAAATGAAACTGATTGAGGAAATTACATTTAAAATGATGTAACACTATCGATAATATAGTTACTATTATTTGAACTATGCAATTTGCAAAAAAAAATTGTAAGAATTTTGTTTTCGCATTTGTAGAATTTGCTGATTTGGTATAGAAACGAGCCACAAATACACGAATTTTAAGTTTATACTTCTTTAATTAGCTAAACAAATTATAATTTTATTAGTATTAATAAAGTACAATAGCTGGTTTCTGAGAAATAAAAGGATGTCATTTTAGGAGACTTATGTCAATATCGGCGACTTTTCTCTACGTTTTAAATTTCACATGTTTTACTTTTATTGTATTCAGACTTATTATATTACTATTATTCATGCTTTATATTTATTGAATTCTATTTTACTTATATACAGTATATATTACCGATTCAGATTTATATTACTATTATTTATACAATTTATTTTACAAATCTTCAATCTTTATTTTTTGATCATTTCAATCTTTATACTATTTACTAATTTTTTTTTGCTGTTAACTATATTTATTGTATATTTTGAAAATTTACAGTTCACTTTTATATTTATAGAATTCAGTTTAATCTCTTATTAATTATTTATTTAGGGGTTTATTAATTATTGGCGGACGTAATGGCATTATCAGTAATATTTTTATATTTTGCGCCATTATCAATAATATATTTATACTCAATATATTTTTTGATATCAAATCATGATGCAAATCCAGGATACTTCAGTGATAATTCTAGGAATAAAGGCTTGAATATCCAAATTTCTTCTTTTCTATCGAATTTCTACAAGTAGTCCTTGTTTAATTTATTTTATAATTAACCGTTTTTATATATTATTCTTTTAACTTTGAGAATGACTCGATCGAAGTCGAAATGTTAGTTTAATTAAGCATATTTGTATTTTTATTTTTATTTTTATTAAATGTTTGTTTTTATTACGTATATTATATTTTATTACTTTGGCTCGTAGCCTTCTTAATATAATTTATGTTATTAATTAGTTATTAATTTGTTATTTAGCGCATGGACCATAGGTTTAGCGTTTTTCCTGACAATGGCAATCTTAATTGCTCTGATGATAAAAAGGAAAGATCATCCTGCCAATCTGATTCTTCTAAGCGCATTTGTAAGTACAAAAAAGTAGACGATTATTATTTGTTGTATGTGACATTAATAAGAATTTGTTTCGGAAATTGCAGACGCTGGTGCAGGCGTACACTGTCGGAGTTGTGGTGTCCATGTACGATACCACAGTAGTCTTGGAAGCTCTGTTTATAACATTAACTGTTTTACTCGGCTTGACAGCTTACACTTTCCAAACCAAGCGAGATTTCTCATTTCTGGGATTCGGGTGAGGCTGACTCTTTCTTGGCCAAATTATTTTTCATTACGTACTTCTGATGTGCCACTTTGCGCTCATAACGTTCTTCAAATAATTTCATCTTTGTTGTTTATTGGGTATAAGTATTAAATAAAGACGAATATTCGCGTACATTGTAAATATCAAATTTGTACTTAAAATGAAATGGATGTACATTTAATATTTAATGAAAGTGAAAAAGAAGTTCTAACGTAGTCAAATGCAGTGATAAAGAACAGATCTTATAATTTTTATGTCGTACTAAATACAGCAGATATAAAAATTACTTATTATTATATATAAATTAATTATTATCGATC